CCTTACACATATATCTACTTTTTCCCTGTTGCATGCTTCATCTTACATTCTCAGCCAGGAGTATTGATCCTGGCACATGCTCTGGTTCTGTGCAGGGTGATGTGGCATCCAACATCCAAGACTACTTTTACAGGAGAACCGCACATCCCAGCTACTACATTATAACTTCGTATGTGTAGCTCTTTCCTGTGACCAGTGCACGTGGGCCATTTCTGAAAGAAGCAGAGAAATCTGAAGGACAACTGGATTAGCCAAGCTAAGGTCAGAAAAGCTTGAGGCTACCACCTGCATGTGCTTAGGGTCAGCATAGAATACAGTATACCTTGATGTGGCAGCTTCCAGGCTAAATTAGCTTTGTGGGAGATCTGAGGTGGAAATGGAGAAATCTGAGAAGTGCCAGCCATCCAGTAGGTAAGAAATGAGGGAATCAACATCATCTGACGTTGCTGGTCTGTGAGGCAAAGCTGTGATTATCAGGTAGGCTTCATGCACCGCCCTTGTGCATTGTGGCTCCTACTCTCTCTTTGTCTTCTTCATACCATGAAGAAATGTCTTGATTTCCTGGTCTTAGTGTCCTGATGCCTGATTCTGATGAATGGGGAGATAGCACTCTGTCTCCCTCTTGCTCTCATGACTGCAAAGGCCAGGATGTGTTTCAGATATATTCTTCCCGTTTCAAAATCTCCACCAGTACCAGAAGAGTTAGACATATTGTTTGCTATTTCAGGCAGTATTTTATGCTTAGGATGCAAAAATTTTAAATATATAACACATGGGGAAGTTTAGTGGAGATTTAGTTGATGTAGTTTCCACCTTTGTGGTGTCTAGACCTAAAAATACCATATTTTAATTTTTTTAGGCAAAAATTGCCTTGTCCATCAGATTATTTACTGGACAATGGCAGCTTCAGTGCCTGTGGATCAGCAACATAGCTGTTCCATAGTGTGATTTATAAGAGAAATAATAATTCTTATGTTAAAACAGTGTGAAGTAAATGGAGTTTGGAAGGTATGCAGGGCTGAGTTGTTCACTTGCTGTTATTAAAAAAAAAAAATTATTGTCACAGTAATGACGGCTGCATTTGGTTTTGTAACTAGATCTCCAAGGGACTGTTGCTGCTAGGTGGATGAAAAAAATGAGACTGGGGATAAAAAGAAGAGAGTAAGGTCATAACTGAGTAATCAGGAATTTAGTATCCAGTAAGATTAAACAGTATGCAAATGATATGTCTTTCTGGCTTTGCTAGATTCTTCTTTTAATACAGCATTTGATTGTAACTAAGTAGGTGAATTTCTGTGTGTTTATGAGCTGAATGTGTCCAGGATAGTAGTAAATAAAAAACAATAGATGATCTTTAAGGTCCCTTCCAAACCAAACCATTCTATGATTCTATAATATGGTAAAGTGTTGCCATGTCTTGCCATGGTGTGGCCAAGAACAGCAACAGTTTTCTATGTGAAGTTTCCTTGATGGTTTAATAGAGATTCATCAGTTTAAAAAAATCTGATAATAAAGCGGGTTTTCCTTTTTCTTCTTACTCTTCTCTGAAACCTTTTACTAGCACAGACAGATGCATAGCTCCAGATACTAAAATGGCTTAAATGTTCACTGCATTTAATCTTGAGGAGAATAAGTTACCTCGTGGAAAACTCCCTTTGAACTAATCTACTGGCCTGATTGCTGGCAGGTAAGCAAGCACTAGGAGGTGACTCTCCAGACAGAATTATTCATGCCAAGAATCAGGCTTCTGATGTATGTTGCAGAGAGCTGATTTACAGGTGCTTTGAGATATAGATATATATTTATATAATTGGACTTTATGTAGCTAATAAAGAGTAACTGTAATCAGTCTTTGCCTTCATCCTGCCTGTGACAGATTTTAGACTTTGCTAATGCATATCATGCTGTTTATTTCAACTAGCAGTGTGATCATTAAATGTGGCATTTGCAACTGTTTAGATAGAAATGTACATTTCTATGTACAGAGGATTTTGTAATATATAATTTTGTTGGTAATTGAAAGTTGCGTGCTTCTTCTGACCATTAACACCCTTCCTATACCTTAATTCTCAGAAATAACAGGGTACAATTTCCTGTTTAATTTCCAAGTTTAATATGAGAAATGAGAGGAAACCCATAGTATAACATAGATTCTTTTGCTTACTGGCCCAGTGCAACAATATGTGTAATGTTTCACATGGTGAGAAAAATAAATAATCCTCAGTTTCATATTGTCAACAAAATATATCATGTTCATAATTCTGTCTTCTATGCCTCATGCCCTTTACTTAGCTAATTCGCCAAATGCTCCATATTCATCTCTTGGACTGCGTGGTTTATAATCTTTATATCTTGCTTAAGCAGGCACGCAATCTGGCTCCCTCCTTACATGGGTTTTCTGAAGGCTTCTGTTCAATAACGCACAGTCCAGTTCTGGATCAGATAATGACAGGAGTAAGAAAGAGATACAACAGCTTTTGACATGGCATGCAGAGCCATGAGGCACTGAATTGGTAGGAGATGCTAGGGGTAGAGGTCGGTTAATTTGCTTAAAGCTTCAGTAAGGGGAGGCATTTCCCATTTTGAAAGGAGTAACTCATTCCCTTTAAATTGATAAACTGTCGGGTTGTTTGTTTCATTTCTCCCTGTGCATAGGAGGTCTTAGGGTAGTTTGTGTCATGTGCGTCCCCATATTTATTTAAGATAACGATTGCTCTTGTCACTTCAGTAGATGGGACTGAAATGGTACAAAATGGGAGTAAAATGCAAATGTGATGTTGAATTAGTCAGAAGTTACACAAGAGTGAAGTTCTATTTTGTTATGGAAAGCACTGTGATTAATGCTTTATATATACCATGCTGCCATTAAGTTAAACTTGCAGAGAGAACCTTTGTTTTGTTTTGCCAAAGGATGGCTTTATTTAGCTTCTTTGGGAACATTAACAAGTAGAGATACTGGGCTGGAGTTTGCAGCTCTGCTTTCTTTTACTGAACTTTAATTCCCACAAAGCTCACTGTGTACAAACTCCTGATGCCCTAAGGAGGGCCATAAATATACTGCTCAATGATATTTATTAGGGATTATAGATAGTTGCTAGCTGTCTGTAGATTTCCTTAAAAGTCATCCAGAGTTGGTGTTAGTTCATTAATGCAGTAAAGTAATGCCAAGAACAGTTACACTTCTCGCTTCTCTTGATGAACAGGCACTAATACAACATGTACCCTTCCAGTGCCTGCTTCATGATCCAAGCGGAACACTGGGGAGAGCTAATATGAAATACGGATTGCAGTATCAACCTACTGAGACCATGACTTTTCTTGTGGAAAATGAAATTTTGCAGATACCTGGCTTTATTTCCAGTGGCATCGTTCCATACCCAGAATGATCCTGTCGCTGGGATGCTCCTTAGGTAGGCAACTGAGCCTGCAGTTCATTAGAAGCAGCTGGAGTCTGTTAGCATGCTCACCTACCTGCCAACAACAACTAGTAACATTTGAAGGTGATTCTCTGGTTTGGCTCTTTCTGTAAAGCTAAGAATCTGAATAGTTATTCAGTTAAAATTTTTACATCTCTCACACTAGGTCAGTTCTGTAGCTAAAACTCAGCAGCTTGTGCTATAGCAGTAGATGTCTCTTGCCCTCTTGTTAGTGCACTGTTAAGAAACTAATCTCTTTTGTGTAAAAAAATTTCTTCAAGGTTTTAAAGTATCCTGTAGTTTGATCTTAAAGAAGTCATGAGCCTGGATACACTAGTGCTGGGAGAGATGATCTTTCTATTTTTCTCTCGGTTCTTCTCATGTATTACAGTCTCAAATACAAGCCTTTGAAATCTTCTCCGAATAATTCTTATACCTCAAAGAAAAAAAATAAAGAAGAAAGAGTACTTTCAAACAAAACATTTCCTTCTTAAAAACATGATAGGTTGACTTCTTCAGCAAATCCTTGCTAGACATTTGTTATTAGTTTTAGTTTTCACTGGTGTGTTTTGTGCCTTTTAGGTGAAATACACAAGACCAAAATTTCAGGCATCCATTACTACTATATTTAGAACAAAAGTACCAGCCCATGTTGTTAGGCAGTTTCTACTTATCTCTGTAACCAATCAACAAAATTAGATTTTAAGTGTAGTGGTCATTTTAATGAATTATTTCTTAAATGCTGTGAAATATAGTTCCTCAATTAATGTTCTAAAAAGTTAGAAGGATTCTCTGGCTTTGGGTAAAGCTACTTATCTGCAAAATACAATGTTTTTTCGAGGAAGATAATATAGCCATTTAAAACTGTTCCAGCTATTAAAACCAAAATACTAGGTGGGATCTAACTTACTAGGTGTGAATAGTTCTACAGAAGTACCTGCCTGTGTTCTCTGTATCACAACTGGGAAAGATGGGTTCCTGGGGAAATTCCCAGAAGAAGTTCCAGTAGAACTGTGGTATTCTTCTGAATTAAATATGAAGATTTTTTTTTTATTTATAAGCATACTGCAAAATTTGTTGAAACTGCAGAGCTTTATTTTGATTTCATTTATGGATTAAATAAGTGTTTCCATCTAAAAATACATACTTTCAGTTGTCTTACGTTAACCTAAGTTGTTTAGCAACATATCAAAACAATTCAATGCAATGATTACTATCTTTTTTTTATTAATCCCATAGGCAGCTTTTGCAATTTTTTTTTTACTATAAATGATTGCAGTGAGGCACTAAAATGCATGCAAAGAACCAATTTCCGCCTCATGTGTCCTTCTTGCCCTTTAAGTTGTGTTTAATACCAACCTGACAGCATGGTTTACAGAACCATGTGTACTTGGTTCAGGGTGCTATTACAGCTATTTAGTACCAATCCCTGATGAAGCATTTTACATAGTCTTCCTTTTCCAGTAAGAAGTTAAACCTGATTTTCTGTCTTCTGCACAGTCCATGCTTTTCTGTCTGTTAAAAACTTGCTGTAGGAGATTTACAGGAAAGCAATGTTAAAGCCATTGTAATACTTTCTTTCAGGAATTACAGCTGAAGTCATAGTGGTAACCTCTTTTGATGAACTGCACAAAAGAGCTCAGGAGGCCAAGGGGAAGATTGTTGTCTACAATGAACCTTTCATCAATTATGGCGAAACCGCGCAATACAGATCACAGGGAGCAGTGGAAGCAGCTAAAGTTGGAGCTGTGGCATCCCTCATTAGATCCATTGCTTCCTTTTCTATTCACAGGTAAGCATTTTTCTCTTTTCTCCCTGTGAATCACATTTCAGCCTTTAGTTCACACGTAATTTCTGGGCAGGCATTTTTGTTCCCTATGACTTAAATGTTGCCAGTTATGAGTGGGTGTTTGGTTTTGAAATTGTTGGCTGCACAATAGTTCTTTTTCCCTGTGCTTTGTCATTCTTTCAAAATATTTTCATTTTTTGTTACCGATCCAAATTATGTATGATATCTGTTTTAAAGAACTTCCTGCATTCTCAAGGCTACCATAAATATTCTGAGATCAACCAAAATAAAATATTTTTGTCGACAACATGTACCATGTTGTCGTATCATGTCAGTAGTGATATGAACTGGTCTTTATGTATATTTGACTAGAATGTAAGTGTACAGTTTTTATTATATTTGTGGTTTTCTTAGCATGAGGCTGTCTTGTACTAGAAGGAGTAGTCTGCTTTGAACATAATTATTTTGAACACTTTAGCAGTAGGATTTGTAATTCTCACTCTGCTTTTTAAATAAGGTAGGTTGAAATAATGACTTCTTAAAAATGAAGTTTTTTTAGATGTCTTAGTATCTTACTTATTATATATAGTTTTACATTTCTGAAATGAGCATTTTAGTTTTCTGTAAGGTGCTGTATTTTTTAATATCATTTTCTTTTTGGACAATATATATTCAGAGCAGTACAGGCTATTTAGTTGCCCAGTGACTCTACCTTCAGAGGAGTCAGTGGTAGCTAACCTGACCCTTGAATGTGTGCCACAACATAAATGGGAACCATGTTCTGTTTGGGTAGTGTCATGGTTTCTTTTTGATCTATGTGCCTAGGTTTTCTTTCTACAGAAGTCCAGACTGGGAAGTAGGAGGAGTGCTATGGCTTTGGGTCTTGTTTGAGGCTGGGACTAGGAAGTGGCTAGGACAGGCACTTGGAAGCATGCTTGATTCCACTGTTTCAGACAAAACATGAGAGGTCACATCTTGGCAACATGAGAAGTGTGCAAGCATCACCATTTGTGATGGTTCAAAAAGTTTGAGAAACGCAGTAATGCCAGCTAACTGTATTGGATCATGTGCAGAGGACAGCTCTGCTGCCAGGGTAGTTGCTTGATAGCATTTTTATATGCTCCATATTCCTCTGCAGAAGCCAACATTACCTATTTAAAATACTTTCTCAAAAGTAAAGTACTTTGAATTCAGATAGCATCCAAACTATACCAGTGTATTTCTTGGTGCCCAACAAATGTAACAGTGTTTACAATATATTTTCTAATATCTATAAGTTTCAAATGAATTTAATAATAATGAACAGAGAGTAGAATATGTTTCAAAAGCAGCTTTATGAAAAATTATATGTTTTCAAAATAGTAATATTTGGTATCATCAAAGAATATTGCAATTTATAATATTTTGATTATCCAAAAACTGTAAGGTAATCTGAACATTGACCTATGCAGTCCTTATTTCTGGTGCCCTGCAGAGGTGTTTATTTGAAAGCTATTCATTGTATCTTCTGTTTGCCAGGCTATTTATGGAAGCACATTTTAACATGTAATGGAAAATTTAGAGATGAGGAACAGAGGTGGAACCTGAAGGTAGTAAAGCCTGTTTATTAGGTCTGGGTCCTGGCATTACAGCTATTTCATAGTTGAATGAAAGGAGAGGAGAAACAGATGCCAAATGCATGTTTGTTTAGAAGTATTGAATCCTTAACCGAGGCTGGGAGCTGAGGTGTCATTCCCAAAAGCAATTTCAAATTTAGATGCTGCCAGGAAGCATTTTTTCATGGAATGTACTTTCTGTCCTTTCTTTGTTTACCTTCACTTAGGGGTTTTTTGGGTGGGAGGAGGGATTGATTAGTTAACCTAGTTTTTCCTATGTTAAAGGAAGTATTCAGGTCCAGTCTGTCACTTCTGCAACTCTGTGATGCCTAGATCTCTTTGTCTTTTTTCTAACAGAAAACAGGTATTGCTGTAGGCAGGACAGATTTTCCTATCTCTGTGCCTTCTCCTATGTTTTCTCTTAATGACCAGCTTTATGTCTCCTTGTCCGTCCTACTGATGTGCTGTTGTGCTGGATGGACTCTGAACTGGATGGACTCTGCACTGGATGGACTGTGTGTTGGATGTGGTGCTTCTTGTCAGTCAGTGTCTGGGGCACTGTTTGTTCAGGTTGTTTGCCTTTTTGATTGACTGATGGGAAGTACTGCGTCGCTGCAGGGAGCAGCCTGTTAGAAGGGTGAGCGAAGAAAAATAAACCTTGAGGTTTAACAAGGCCAAGTGCTGGGTCCATCACTTGGGTCACAACAACCCCACGCAACGCTACAGGCTTGGGGAGGAGTGGCTGGAAAGCTGCCAGGCAGGAAAGGACCTGGGGGTGTTGGTTGACAGCCAGCTGAATATGAGCCAGCAGTGTGCCCAGGTGGCCAAGAAGGCCAATGGCATCCTGTCCTGTATCAGAAACGGTGCGGGCAGCAGGACCAGGGAAGTGATTGTGCCCCTGTACCCGGCACTGGTGAGGCCACACCTTCGAGTACTGTGTTCAGTTTTGGGCCCCTCACTACAAGAAGGACATTGAGATGCTGGAGCGTGTGCAAAGAAGGGCAACGAAGCTGGTGAAGGGCCCGGAGAACAAGTCTTACGAGGAGTGACTGAGGGAACTGGGATTGTTTAGTCTGGAGAAGAGGAGGCTGAGGGGAGACCTTATTGCTCTCTACAGCTACCTGAAAGGAGGCTGTAGTGAGGTGGGTGTTGGTCTCTTCTCCCAAATAACAAGTGATATGACAAGAGGGAACGACCTTAATTTGTACCAGAGGAGGTTTAGGTTGGCTATTAAGAAAAAATTCTTCACTGAAAGTGTTGTTAAATTCCCTGAAACATGCTGCCCAGGGAAGTGGTGGAGTCACCATCCCTGGAGGTATTTAAAAGATGTTTAGATGTGGTACTTGGGGACATGCTTTAGTGGTGAACTTGGCAATGCTAGCTTTACATTTGGACTAGGTGATCATAATAGTCTTTTCCAACCAAACTATTCTATGATTCTATAAAAAGCCAATAAAAGAATTCTAAATGTTGTGAAAGGAAGTCTTGCATACTTGCAATTTGTATACTGCTACTTTGTTGACCAGAACCTTTACTTCTTGGGCCTATATGTTTACATGTGCACCTATAAATTTAACCAATTTAACCAGTAACTGCTAATGGGATTGTGGCAATTTTCCAAAACATCTTGGAAACATCTGAGAAGAAAGTATCCTCCTTCTGATACTGTACTATCCCACTATTCTCAGGTGAATAAATGGTAGAATTTCACAATTTTCCCTTAACAGTATCAACTTTGGTGTGGTTTTTAATTTGGTTTTGGGTTGGTTGGTTTGGTTTTTGTTTCGTTTTTTGTTTTTTTTTAAAGACCTTTACTCCTTTGGGACAGGGCATCACTTATTGTTATTTGTTTATTCTATTTGCAGTAAATTAAGCTGGCTGGAACAATGGAAGCTACTTTGTAGCATGATTTCTAGATGATCTTGCAATGTGAATAATATTGATAGGTTAAAACTAGATACTTTGTAGTAGATTAACATTTTAGGCTTATTAGGGCTGGTTATTAAAACTTACTGACAAGACAGAATTGGTAAAGTGACAACATGGATTAAATCAGTGTTCTCTTGCTGTCAGCTTGGTTGCTGTTCCTTGTTTCAGAGGTGGCAAGCAGCTGGCACCTTATCAAGGGCACCAATTGTGAAGGGAACCTTTGAGCAGGGATGATGTGGGCAGCTTATTTTTCTTTAAGGTATGGTAGCATAGCTATGGAGTGAATGAAACTGCTTTGGGACTCAAGACCCGCCTGGACGCCTTCCTGTGTAATTTCATTTAGGTTCCTGCTCCGGCAGGGGGATTGGACTAGATGATCTTTTGAGGTCCCTTCCAATTCCCAACATTCTGTGATTCTGTGATTCTGTGATCCCAATTCTGAATGAGGGCAAGAAGGGATGAACTTTGATATACTCAGGAAAATTCATTGCTGTGTTTATATGAATGGTTCATGCCAACTCATCAGTGACAGTGAAGGACTTGGAAGGATTTGTTATTGACCTTCAAGGAGCAGGCTCATTTATTTAGGACAGAAATGGTAAGTGAATAGGAAATAAAATTAGCAACAGCATCTTCTTTGGCCTATGAAGAGATGACAGTAGTTACATCATTGATATTACTATGTTCCACGGCAGTTGTGTCTCATGGCCTTGTCCCCATGTTGTGTTAGAGTCCAATAGTTCTCTTGCTACTTTATAGATATTATGTAAGAGTGGACATTTTTACTTAGGAGAAAGTCACTGTAACAGATAGGTAATTTTTCCTGCCCTCCTCCCAAATGATGTGTTTATAACAGCCTTTTTCTCAGTAACAATTTCCTGAAGCACTGGCAATTTGGTGGTGGAAACATTTAAACAGAGATATTGGGAGTTCAGGGTAACAGAACTATTTTTAATGAACTTTCTCAAATAACACGTTATTGTAATCAGTCAACAGTATCTGTAGTATTTGGCTTTTTGGTGAAATCTGGACGTTGACTTTTTTTGCTTTAATAGCTTGACTGTGCTGTGATTAATGATCTTGTGCAAGTTAAAGTAATAATTATGTTTACTGTTGCATAAAATAAACTGATGAGTATTTCCCAGTTTGTAGGGGATATTTTTACAGCAAAAATTACTCAATTTACAAGGCATGGTTAAAAATGTGGTTATAATAAGCTAGCATAAGTCTGTTTTTTTGCTTCCTAGCTGTACCTTTTTAGAACATTTTATAGATAAAAGGTATCATTTAGCTACTGAAATGGTCCAGTATTTATCCTGTGGTGAATGTACTCTTATGAATCTAAAACTACTTCTGTTCCTCAAGAACCACAGATTAGATAAAATCGTAACACTGTGTCTTGTAATAATAACCCCTTTAAGGACTCTAGAAAGAAGCAAAATTGACTGTTTTTCAAGAACATAGAAAGAAAGTTAGTTC